GCAGCATAATGTGTGTTGATGTGACTGTATGAGTGACAGACAGAACACCCACCAAATGGGTTTATTATCATAATAGATTATCAAAAGCTAAGGGTGTAGCAATTACTTCTTTATGTCATGGGCTTTGCTCTCTCGGAAGTATTTGTTACATATAGTCTATTATACTTGTGCTTCCTGGTAGTACATAACAATACCTAACATAAGCAGTAGAACAGATAGATGCTATGTAGTAATGTAAGGTGGATTCCACTTTTTTCCTTCCCCAAAACCAAAAATCACAAGGCAGACGCTGTCATTAATACCTTCATTTCTGGCTGAGATGAGCAGCACTGTGCAGCTAACAGTTAAATCTGACTTTCTCCAAGATCACAGCTGTTGCTATCCAGAGGTTTGATGTTATTACAGAGGCCACCATGAAGTTCAGAGCTAGCTCCAGATGTGGATGTCCTCAGGGCCAGGGTACATTTATATTTTGGAGGTCAGAGCAGAAAAAAGTAGGATGCAGTTTGGATGGCAGGATCTCCTCTGAGGAACAGAAAACCATCTCGAGTTTGTAGTGTTGGGTGAGTCGAATACATACAGAAGTCACAGAGGGATGAAAACAGTGATTTGCTATGGTATTGCCTGGTTTTGTGAGACCTGCATTATAAATCAGTGATGGGCATGTCACATAATGGAAATTGCCTGAAACCTGGGTATCCTTAACCAGTTGTCTAGGTCTTCTCCATACTCAATGGAACATGGGAATTTCATGTCATCTGCCTCAGATGCACCTTTTAAAAGCAGGGGGTGACCTTCCCTATATATCTTGACTATGGAAAAAGCAAGAATTAGACATTCCATTTCTAGGTGGCAACAGTCATCTTACATAGATCCCATCCTAAGTGTCTATCCCACTGATCTGCAGCAAGACTGTGGTAAAAGTTAACAGTGGGAATGGATGAGCAGCAGGAAAAAGGCATTGTAAGCTTGTCCTCGGATAGATCTTGATACCAACTTCACTCAACAAAGCAGGACCGTTTCTAAGGGAAATAGCTCAAATTAAGTCCTGTGCTCTGCTTGCTTGGTGCTCAAATGTAGAGGAGAAGGACCTGATTCCCTTACAGTGTCAAGATCTTTTCATTCTCTTCACTGAGGCTGGAATTTCAAATACCCACCTGCCATGGTTTAACCCCAGACAGCAACTAAGGCTCTTCCGCTCCCCTGCAGTGGCACGGGGAATGTAATCGAAAGGGTTAAAGTGAGAAAACTCATGGTTGAGATAAAGGCAGTTTAACAGGAAAAGCAAAAGCTGCACACACAAGCAAAGCCAAACAAGGAATTCATTCCCTATTTCCCATCAGCAAGCAGGTATTCAGCCATCTCCAGGACTGGGAGATGAGACAGGAGAAATGGTGTGTTGCATGGAGCTATTGGGCATCAAAGTCAGCTCAGGTCGGGTCATTGCTGGACTTGCACTGCTTCTCAGAAGACTGGTCCTTCACTGATTTTAGGGGTTCCTGCCATAGTAATTCCTGTAACATGCAACTCAAATCAAGGTTCCAGCAATTCAAAGGTATTTCCATTACAGTCTTCATCCCTGGTCTCTTTGCACCAGAGCATAGGGTTTAACACTGCAATGAACTCCCCTTGCCTCTGCTCCAGCTTGGACTTCCTCACAAACTGCAGTCCCTTAGGGCTGTAGCTGCTCCAAATGGAGCCTTATCTATGGACCATGGTCTCTCCATGGGTGTACCTGCTGTGGCACAGACCCATTCACTGCCACAGTCCTTTCAGAAATAGACCTGCTCAAAGCATGCCCTTACCCATGGCCCTCCAGGGGTATACCTGCTCTGTCATGGGCTTATCCATTGCCACATGCTTTAAGATGCTCCAGCATGACCTCATGCACAGCCATGATGCTTCAGGGTGTACCTGCTGAGGCATGGGCTTATCCACGGCCACTGATACTTTCAGGTGTACCTTCTTCACCATGGCCTTGGACCACAGTCCCTTCAGAGGTATACCTGCTATAGCAGATATAACCACAGCCTTTGAGATGTACCTGCTCTAGCATGTCTTATCCACTGACACTGATGCTTTCAGGGTGTCCTGGTCCAGCATGGGCTCATCCTCAGGCCATACTCCTTTTGACTTGAGTTCACACTGGAGTTCCAGCCTACCCAGTACAGCAGCACAGAAGCAGGAGCGAGGCCCCAGCCATCTGCCAGCCCAGGCTCATCCCCATTGCTGTTATCAGAACGTCACCATGCACAGCAGAGTAAGGTGATAAGCAGCACTGCACTACAGGAAGCAGTGGAAGTGAAACCAATGAGCACCAGACTCTGACAGACAGTGAGGCAAGCAAGTCCCATGGCTTTCAACTAATAGCTAAACAGCAACAACAGCTACAAATTCAATCTATAACATTCCAATCAAATCTGTTGTGATCTTGAACCCTTCATGCCCCACACTGAGCACCAAAATAGACTGTCATGGTTCAACCCCAGCCAGCAGCTAAGCCCCACACAGTTTTTCTTCCACTCCCCCACACTGGGATGGAGAATAGAATCAGAAGGGTAAAAATGAGAGAATTCATGGGTTGAGATAAAGGCAGTTTAATAGGTAAATCAAAAGCTGCCCACACAAGCAAAGCCGAATGAGGAATTAATTCACCACTTTTCATCAGCAGGGAGGTGTTCAGCCACCTCCAGGACAGTAGGGCTTCATCATGCATAATGGGTACTTGGGAAAACAAGCACCATCACTCCCAGTATTCCTCTTTTCCTCCTTCCCTTGGCTTTACTGCTGAGCATGATGTCATGCAGCATGGGATATCCCTTGGGGCAGTCAGGGTCAGTTGTCCTGGCTGTGTCCCCTCCCAACTCCTTTGCACACCCGGCCTACTCATTGGTGAGGAGCAGAACAGCCCTTGATGCTGTGTAAGCATGGCTCAGCGGTAACTATAACACCTCTGCACTATCAACAAATCCCAAAATAGCCCCATGCTGGATACTATGAGGAAAATTAACTCTCTCCCACCCAAACCAGCACACCACCACCAAAACATGATATCAAGCAGAACTGGACTGGGAATCCCAGGACCTCTCCTTCCTGGGCCAGTGGTGAAAACTGTGGTGGGTGTCTCTTTGCTGAGAATGAAAGGAATGTGAACATTTTATTTAAAAGGAGCTGGATTTGGTTTGTTGTTGCCTGTTTATGACCCCTGATTTAGAATCATAGAATCACAGAATAGTTAGGGTTGGAAAGGACCTTAAGATCACCTAGTTCCAACCCCCCTGCCATGGGCAGGGACACCTCACACACCCAAAGCTCTGTCCGACCTGGCCTTGAACACCACCAGGGATGGAGCATTCACAACTTCCCTTGGCAACCCATTCCAGTGCCTCACCACCCTTACAGTAAGGAACTTCTTCCTTATATCCAATCTAAACTTCCCCTGTTTAAGTTTTAACCCATTACCCCTTGTCCTATCACTACAGTCCCTAATGAAGAGTCCCTCCCCAGCATCCCTATAGGCCCCCTTCAGATACTGGAAGGCTGCTATGAGGGCTCCATGCAGCCTTCTCTTCTCCAGGCTGAACAGCCCCAACTTTCTCATCCGTCTTCATACAGGAGGTGCTCCAGTCCCTGATCATCCTCGTGGCCCTCCTCTGGACTTGTTCCAACAGATCCATGTCCTTTTTATGTTGAGGACACCAGAACTGCACACAATACTCCAGGTGAGGTCTCACAAGAGCAGAGCAGAGGGCACTAATCCTGTGCAGGTGAAAGCCAAAAACATCCTTTGAGTAACAATAGGGAAAGTCAAACCCTTAATGTGGAAGCACCGACAGGGTGGACGTTGCAAACATGCAGACTCACTCACTGGAGAGCTCCCAAGACCTACAAGCGCTGAAATGAAAACATGACATAACAGATCAGTCAATGGTTACTACTGAATAAGTCAGAGGGCTTCACAGTTAATCACTGCAGCCATCCGTGAACTCTCACAGGGTGCAGACAAACAATCAGCTTTGCCTTTGGGACGATGTCCATTCCATGGTGGGAGGCCCACATGCTCTGATTCCTTCTTGGCAAAAGCCTTGTTATCTGAAGATACGTTAAGAGAAGAAGGATAACTGTTTGGATCAGTTTTATAATCAGAAAATCAAGAGGGGAAAAGAAGGGAAGGGAAATTGGGAATCAATTCTCATGGTGTCATTGACAAGGAAGCTTGATGCGAGCATCCCTACATCAAGGTGTAACTCATGAAAGGTTGGCTTTCACCAGCCTTAGGCTGGGTTGTAAACCATGCAGTGGGATCCATGCCTCCGGAGGTGTGTGCTTCTGCAGGTCTCCTGGCTGTGCTCATGGCACTGCTCTCATCAACGTCATCCCTGCAAGGACATGGGGAGATGCTCCAAAAGAGAAGCAGCCTACTATTGATTCACATGGTGGAAGGGGCTCTGTTTTAACTCTTGTGCTGGTGTCATGCATGTGCTGCTATGAACGAGTTCTCCTATTTAGCATGTTCCTCGTGTTCGGACCTCCCTGAATCTCTCCCCTTGCTTTGGGTTTTTCCATACCAGTTTGGGCATGGAAACAGCATTTCTGCCCAGTGGTTTTAGAATCTTCTGTCAACTGCAGCACAGAATAAAGACTTTCATATTTTTGTATTTATTTTCTATTTTTCTGTTGTATTTTCTCTTCCCCTTTTCTCTTCCCCTTTTCACAGGTAAATGGAAAGAAAAAAGGGTGAGATGGGTAGAGAACAGCTGGGAAGAACACAAGGGAAAAAAATGAAGCACAATGTTTTGAGGAATAATCTCAAAATAGGAATGTAAAATCCATTTTAGAAATGCTTCCGATGGGGAAAGAAACAATTATTTTGGAGGGTTAGTTCTTTATTATTCACAAGAAAAAGCAATCAAAACTGATTTTAAAAGAACCACATAGCTTTTTGTTGCTTTTGAGGTTGGTGGAACTGAATGTCTTTGACAGAGTTTGCAGATACTTGCTCTCCTGTTTAGTTTAGTCTGTTTCCTGTCTCTGATTATCCTAATTTGGTGGAATATTCATTCCCAGCCTTCCACAAACCAAATGTTCCTCAGAGGGAAAGTTATCAGGAGAAAAGCATATAAACCCAATAAGAATATGCCTGATATCTCAAGTCAAGTTTTGGTGCAAGGGCAAGCTAGGGGTCAAGACTTTGCATTGAGCTCTGGGGTGGGTGGTGGGGGATGCAGTTGGTTGTCGATGGTGTAGTTACTTATTTAGACAGAGATGATTCCCAGGAGCTCTGGCCATGGTGTAGGTCTGTCCATGAGGCTCAAAAGCTGAAAAGAGTCTTACTAAATCGGGATTATGGCCCCATCATGCCCTGCCAGTCTCTTTAGCCTGGTCTACTCCAAAAGAAGATGTGTGGCTGGCTGTTTTCACAGTGTTTCCTGCCAGGCTGTGCCTTGCTGGTGCCAAGGGGAGGAACAGAAATGAAGCTCCCATGCTTCTGTGCCACCCTGCCACCCATGAGCCTGTGGGATGGATGGCTCAGACTGCGGGGACCATAACCTGTCCTGGTGCAGAGCATGGCTCCTGCCTCTCTGAGGGGTTCCTGGAGAAAGGGGGGGACACTGAGGGGATGCGAGTGATCTGCGGGGACACTGCAGGCATGTCTGTGAGGCATGGGGACACTGAAGGGGACACTGAGGGGACATGTGCAAAGCATGGGGACACTGCAGGGGATGCTGAGAAGAGATGAGTGAGCTGTAGGAATGCTGCGGGGCCACGTCCGTGAACCAAGGGGTGTGTATGAACCATGGCGAGACTGAGGGGACATGTATGATCTGTGGGGACATTAAGGAGACATGTGTGAGCTATGGGGACACTGGGAGGGACACTGAGAAGAGATATGTGTGCTCTGGGGACACTGACAGAGACATCTGTGAACCATGGGGATATTAAGGGGACATGTGTGACCTGTGGAGATACTCTGACGGGGATGTGTGTGAATCATGGGGACACAAAGGAGGCATGTGTGACCTGTGGGGGCACTGACGGTGACAATGATGGGGTTGTGTGTGAACCATGGGGACACCGAGGGGACATGTGTGAGCTGTGGGGACACCGACGGGGACAATGATGGGGATGTGTGTGAATATGGGGACACCAAGGGGACATGTGTGACCATGGGGACATAGAGGAGACACTGATGAGGATGTGTGTGAATATGGGGACACTAAGGAGACATGTGTGAGCTGTGGGGACACTGATGGGGACAATGATGGGGATGTGTGTGAACTATGGGGATACCGAGGGGACATGTGTGACCTGTGGGGACACAGAGGAGACACTGATGAGGATGTGTGTGAATATGGGGACACTAAGGAGACATGTGTGACCTGTGGGGATGCTCTGATGGGGATCCGTGTGAACCATGGGGACACTGAGGAGACTTGTGTGACCTGTGGGGACACTGAAGGGGGACACTGACAGGGATATGTGTGAACATGGGGACACGGAGGGGACACTGACAGGGATGTGTGTGAACTATGGGGACACCAAGGGGACATGTGTGACCTGTGAGGACACTGAAGGGGACACTGACAGGGATGTGTGTGAACATGGGGACACCAAGGGGACGTGTGTGAGCTGTGGGGATGCTCTGACGGGGATGTGTGTGAACCATGGGGACACTGAGAGGACTTGTGTGACCTGTGGGGACACTGAAGGGGACACTGACAGGGATGTGTGTGAACACGGGGACACCGAGGGGACACTGACAGGGATGTGTGTGACCTGTGGGGACACCAAGGGGACACTGATGGGGATGTGTGTGAACACGGGGACACCGAGGGAACATGTGTGACCTGTGGGGACACAGAGGGGACACTGACAGGGACATGTGTGAGCTGTGGGGACACGGAGGGGACACTGACAGGGATGTGTGTGAGCTGTGGGGACACGGAGGGGACTCGCATGCTCAATGCACGTTGATGCTGATGAGGACACTGCGGACTCCCCCCGCGCACATGTGCCAGCCTGGGGGTACACTGACGGGTCACGTGTGACCCGGCTGACGCGTGCGAGCCGCGCGGGCGGCGCCGCAGGGCGTGGCGGGGCGTGGCGCGCTCGGCGGCGGGGGCGTGGCCTGTCGCGGCGGGCAGGGGCGGGGCGGGGCGGGGCGGGGCCTGTCGGCGGGGTCCGCGCTGTCAGTCTCGGCGCTGCCGCTCGGCAGCATGGAGGCAGCGCGGGACGGGAAGGCGGGCAGCGGCCCCAACGGCCATGCCGAGGGCCCGGCGGCGGAGCGAGGCCCGGGGCGCCTGCGGGGCTGCCGCGGCTTCCTGCGCCGCAACGCGCTGGTGCTGCTCACCGTGTCCGGCGTGGTGGCCGGCGTGGCGCTGGGGACCGCGGTGCGCGGAGCGGAGCTGAGCCCGGCGCAGGTGGCCTACCTGGCCTTCCCCGGGGAGCTGCTGCTGCGGATGCTGCGCATGGTGATCCTGCCGCTCGTGGTCTGCAGCCTGGTGTCGGGAGCCGCCAGCCTGGACACCCGCTCGCTCGGCCGCCTGGGAGGCATCGCCGTCGCTTATTTCCTAGGGACCACGCTGCTGGCGTCCGGCCTCGCCGTCGCTCTCGGCTTCATCATCCGTCCCGGCGCCGGAGCCGCCGGCCTTAACGCCCCCAGCCTGACGGGCGCCGTGCCCACCAGCAAGGAGACGGTGGACTCCTTCCTCGACCTCATCAGGTGAGGCCGCCCCGCTCCTCCTTCCCCCGCTTTCCCGCCTTCCCCGCCGGAGGATGATGACAGACCCGGCGGTATTGCATGCTGCAGCTGCGGAACACCCCCCCCGTTCCCCCTCCTCCCCTCCCTCCTCCGCCTGGCTTTCCCAGAGGCGCCGCTTGCTGCCCAGGTACGCGGTCAGGTTTAGGGCTGCTTGGTGCTGAACCTCTCCCTCCTTTAGGCTTAGTTGTGGCTCGAGGATGAGCCGGCGCTTGCACGGAGATCTGGGTGCCGGGGCCCGTCTTTTAGTCCCGCCTGGGTGCTCGCTGCAGGGCAGGCATGGCTCGCTTGGCACCTTCCCCTGTCCCGCTGCCTGGCCTTGCCCGTGTCCCGCAGGCAGAGTAGGGCAGCTCTCCGCATCCCTCTTTATTTTATTCCCCCACGCTTCACTTAGTCTTCATACACAAATCACAGAATGGTTTGGGTTGGAAGGGACCTTAAAGCTCATACAGTTCCAGCCCCCTGTCCCAGGCAGGGACAGCTTCCACTAGAGTAGGTTGCTCCAAGCCCTGCCCAACCTGGCCATCCAGGGAAGGGGCATGCCAACCCGCTTCTTACAGCACCTTCTCCATTGGTGCGGGCATGGAAATGCAGCCCCATGTTTCCATCATACCCAAACATAGTTCGGTATGAGGACACAAACTGTAAAAAATCACACAAACTACCTGGAAGCAAAGCTTCCGCTTATAACCAGGTTGCAATCTTGGTTTATCTTTATTGCTCCTTGCAAAGCTCCAGACTTTACCATTGTTTTTTCTCAGAGCTGAGTTCTGTCCAGCTCTTTAAATAAGAGAGGAACACTTACATAAATGAGGCAACATCCAGCCAGCTTTTTCAGTGCCGGACTTCCAGTTGCAATCTCTTGTGCTTTGATGAATGTTGGTGCAGAGCCCCAGATGTGAACAGCTGATGTGTTTTTGTTATCCCATGTCTGGCTCTGCTGCTTGTTCCCATCCAAGTAGTGTTGAGCAGTCATGGAAAAGTGTATTACAGGCGCCTGAGAAAAGTGGTGGAATAAAGGAAAACCGGGTCTCTCCCATCGAGTGTAGCTGAGAGGGTGATGGGAAGTGATAGCCATCAATAGAGAGCATGGAGGTTTGCTGAAACATTGGAAGATGAACAGCTTTGGAGGCAGTGCATGTTGTTATGAAGATGCAAACAGAAGAGCAAAGGGAGGTGACCTGCATATGAGCAAAGTGGCTGGACAGTTGTGCTTAGCAAATGTCTTGGTAATTACAAAGCTGTAACCCAAACTGTGTTTACAAATCCGTGGTAATGCCCTTTTCTTTCACAGAGAGAAGTATATTCCCTTTGCATTCTATGCATTCTAAGCAAGCTCTGCTTTGTCCCATTGGCAACCACATGCTTCATATCCTCAGCTCACCTCTTGTTCCTGACAGAGCACGCTGAGAAGTATAACAGGGCAGTGGGAGTAGGCGGGCTGGCGGTGGAGGTGACTTGGAGTTGAATGGAAATGTAGGGAGATGAAGGAAGACTGCAAAAGAAGGGAATCAGCACAACCGGGATAGTTGGGAAGACAACTGCAGCAGCGGCTGCCTCGGGCGCATCCTGGCGTGGCTGCTGTAGCTGGTGTTTCAGTGCTTTGTTGCCATGCAGCACAGAGTAGCTGATGTAGCTGAGAAACAAGGCAGGGATGCTCCAGTGAGCTTCAGGCTGTGGGTAACATCTGTGAAGTTGGGAGGGGAAAGCTACATCTTGCTCTGGTCTGTAAATGCAGGTCGAGAGTTCATCCTGAGGGGGTTATAACGGTGGTGGGATTGAGTCCTTAACTCCAAAGTAATGCTGATAATGGTGAAACTTGAGTTAAGCATGTGGGTTGCAGAGGGATTTCCTTCTGGGAAATGAAGAGCCAGGGGCTTTCCCCCAGTGCATGTACAGTGGACTGTGAATTCAGCTTTTCCTCGGAGCCCCAGGGAAGGGCTGTTGCAGCCACATTATTGGGCAGTCCAAGTGTCACAGCAGCAACAGCGAAATCCAGTCCAGAACAGATGTGTTTGGACACAACCATCACTGAAAGTCCCAGTCTTAGCACAAATCCCCAACAGCGAGTGATGTGATTTTCTAGAAATAATATCTTTCTCCCTCTGCCTTTTAATTTATTATTACTTTTTTAAACTATTCTTGAAAATGTGAGTGTTCTGGTTTGAGCACTGATCTTGGTCCCTGCTGTGGTAGAAGGTACCAGAGTAACCTCATTTTCACTTAACCCTTGAGTCTATTGGGCCTGTGGGGCTGAAACCTTTTCTTTCCATGTGAGTGGGTCTTGCAGCATCCCACTCTTTGCTTTTCCTTTTCTCTCTTTTGGTCACGAAACCAAAAAGGCAAAAAAACTTTGGTTTCAGTTGTGTGCCAAGAGTGGCTGTGTCCTTCAGAGCTTCACTGCTCGGTTTCTGATAATGGGTAAAAATGAGGCACAAATGGGTAAACTGAGTCCTTCTACAGCACTGAAAGCAGTGGAGCAAGGAAGAAAGAGCAGAGGCAATCACAGCTGTGAGTCATGGCTCCTTCTGAGATGACACAGGGTGTCCTTTCCCAGGATACAGAACTCTTCTGCTTTTGGGAAGGGTGTTAGTTAATGACCAAAGACATTGGTTTCCGTTGTCACAGCAATGTCTGGAGGCCAGCTTAATTCTTGGTTATGTTTTTCCAGTTTTCCATTTCCACGTCTGAAGCTTCCACATAAACACACACATACGCATGCAGACATGACCTCTGGAAAAGACATTTGTCTTGGGCTTTGATAGCAAATGAATGATTACTCACTGGTGAACGGAAAAGCTGTCTGTGTTTTGTTTTGTCCATTGACCATAACCTCTGGATCTAATTTGTCTTATGGAGCACCTTCCTAGCTTCCTTTCTGGCAAGTGCAGGAGGCAAGCCTTGAGTGTGTCTGGTCACTAAACCCTGGGACATGGGGTGGGGACAGTAGAGCTGTCCTGGAGGTGCCTTTATGCCCCACAGCATGGGTGGTGATGGCCCATCTCATCTTGGGTCTGTCATGTGTTCAGATCTTGGAGATCCCATAAAGGTAAGCATGGCCCGAGGCAAGGAGAGGCTGCAGCTTAGTGATCATGGGAGGGATCCAGCAATTCAGAGGTGCTTCCACAAGGCTGGTGGCTTAAAAAGCCAAGATCAACAACAACAAAAGAAGTGGGGTGTGCTCTGAACCCAAAGGGGGACCTTGGATTTCCTTAACTCTGTCCCACATCAGTGAAGAAGGCCAGGCTCTGGAGCTCTGCTCCACAGGGTCTTAACTGAAGATGGGCCTCCAGAGCATCTGGCATGAAGAGCAGCTTGGTTGTACCAAATAGGCAAGCGCCGAGCACCAGCAGAAGATGAGGAGAATGGAGGGAAACTGTTTTTGTCCCTTACTCATGTGTTGGTGGAGAAGACAAAGCAATGGAGAATAAAGTGTGCTTACCAGCTTGGCTATGAAGCGGGTAGCAGGTGGAGGAAGATGCTAGGTGTGATACTGTGGGTTTTGGGGCTCAGCATCCACTTGGGTAGGTGACAGCTTGGCTCTGATCATGTCAGATGTCTAACCAGAGAGAAGCAGGTGAGGAGAGAGATGGTGACAGGGAGGTGCCTCTGGCCACCAGCTAACACAGCCCATATAGTTCATTGGAAAGCAGCTGAAAACCAGCAGGGTCAAGTGTTGTGCAAGGATCTATTGATTTGTTACGACTTTTGATGGGCAGTTGTCAAGACTGCATGTTTTGATAAGGTCAGAGGTTTGGTTTAGCTCTGATTTTTGTATTTGCTGATACAACAAAATCAAACAGTTTCACAGAAACCTATTGATCCTGTCAAAGTTTCCAACAGTGGGTGATCCTGGCAATTCATTCCAGTGAGGTCAATGTTTTCCTGTAATTTTGTATGAAAGACTTAAGTAGAAAATCTCAGTCATCAAAAAGGAACAAAATATTTTATAATATATTTTAGTGGCTTTCTTTGCCCGATGTTGGGATGAAAACATGTTTTGAAATTGTGGGACTGGCTTTGGGAAGGGAATCCTGTTTCTAATCCAGCCCGAGTTGTAATAGTCTAGGGAGGGAAGGAGGTGGTAGCATCATCTGCTTTTTATAGGAAGGGTACACAGAGGTTCAGGTGTCTGCCCTGAGCAGGGTCAGGGTTCCTCAGCCTGCAAAGGCAGTTTACATTTTATTGCTCCTCACTGCCCATTCTGTCTCTCTGCCAGCGTTCACCAGTGATGCTGCCAAAGGGAGTACCCACAGCACCATTAGAGAGCCCATGCATTGGCTCTGTGTGCCTTTGGAGCAGGAGGGGAGGCAGGATGAGCTTGAGTGCAAGGAGAAGCATCGGTCGTGTTCCGCTGGCTGGGCTGCAGAGCTGATGGCCAGGGTGGACCGTGGTCTCCAGAGCACTCAGGCACCAGTCGCTCCGGTAGCACTTGTTTCTCATAGCCTTGGTCTTCCTGGTGAGCCACTCAAAAGCAGCAACCATGAAAGCTCTGGAATCCCAATGTGGAAAGAGAGCAAAGCTTGAGGAGAGGAGGGGGAGATGCCACCTTTGTAGTGATAAATAGAGCAAGAAGTGGCTGGGGAGCAGCTGCAGTTACACCACAGCACATCCCCGAGATAGGCTCACCACTGGGTTTGCAGCTGGATCTTAACTCTGGGTACCCTCAGAAAAAGGGGAAGTAGTAAATGTTACTGTCCACTTTGTGTCATTTTCTGAGTCTGGATCCTCTCTTGAAGTATAGGAGTTCCTGACTGGGTTTTATAGGAAGAACTCAGCTTTCTCATTCATGTGCCGGCACTGTCTGATGGGTTTTCTTAATGAGCCTCTGAACATTTCTGCTCTTTCCTTTTGCTCTTTATATTCCTTGCCTTTTACTGCTGACTCCCCCTAGTTATGGTTTATTTTACAAGCAACGAAGATACAGACTGCACCATTAAGGCAAACAAGTACTGAATGATCTGCTCTAAGTAGATACATTTTCAAGTTTCTCTGTGTTAAAGCAGACGCTCATAAAGATGTATCTGTGCAGGGCATGCATCGTGCGCTCATGTACATGTGAAACAACAGATGAGAAGGGCTGGTGTGTGATACTGAATGAAAGTCTTGGGACAGGAAAGCCCTAAAGGTACTGGAGGAATCCAGGCTGGGCTCTGGCAGGTTGCCACTGATGGCAGTGAAGTTGCTGTCAGTGGACTCCTACCATTGAAAACACTTCACTGAGACAGAAATAGGAGATAATGCAACAGAGAGCTTTTTCTAGGCTTCCTCACAAAAGTGTGTTTTCCAGCAGCAAGTTTTGGCCTCAGAAGTGGAACGTTTTTGTAAGAAGCAATGCAAGAGGAATGCGTAGTATTTTAGGGTTTTGTTCTGCTTGCCTGGATTTCCCTTCATGCTTTTGCTGCCAGAGCAAAGTTGTTTGCAGAGCTCTAGCAAAAGAATCACTTAGAAACAGTTATTAATGATAATCCCTTACACATGCAATGAAGGAGTTCCTGTGCCATCCTTATCCCACTGGGGGGAAGCTACAGGGTAAAGAAGAGAGGAATTTGACCATAATAGCAAAATTGAGAAGGAAGGGACCTGAAGCCCCTTTTTGCTTCCGTTAGGTCTTGAGGTTTCCTTAGGCATCTGGAATTCACAGCAGTGGCAAAACATTACAGCAAAAATACAGTGAGACTTCCCTGCTAAATTAGGGGAGTAATGGTCCCTTTTTGACTGGTAGGAAAAGCTTTCCACTGGAGAAGAGGAAAAAGCTGCATTTACCCAGCTGTGCATGGGGAGATGGTGTGACGAGCACAGCCTTCAAGCAGAAAGTATTCAGACCCTGAAACTCCTGCGACTTTCTGGTTCTTGTTTTAAGAGGATGTGAGATGGGTGCGTTCTCACACTGTGTTGTGCAGGTACATGAAGGTTTCCTGGCTCAGCCCAGCTGCCACTTGAGCCCCAGGACACAGATGTCACCCTTGACAGCTCTCTGATGGGTTTGGTTTTGGTGGGGGGGGCTCTCTGTATAAATCGCAGCAGGCAGAGACTTTCCTGCCTGGTGCTTAGTAGGGGGGTACAGTCTCTCTATATCACCTACTTTGCCTTTCCACCACAAAGGCAGTTGGGTTCATAGGTGTTTGATCCATCCCTCTCTGTGGACGAGATCCTGGCAGCAGTGAATCACTGGGGTGCATGCAGCCCATCTGTCCCTCTGCTATAACGTCGTGGGTCGCTGGCTCATCTCGTTCTTTCCACATACAGCAAGTTTTGTCTGTTTGCGTCACGGGGCCAAGGCTGCCTGATCCCAGACTCCTGTGCTGTGCTCCTTATCACCCAGACTCAGGGTTTCCCCGGTGGTGTGCTCCTGAGATAGCCCACATCTGCTTCAAAAAGGTGATTGTGTTCTGTGGCCCGTGGCATGGCAGCAGCAGGGATGGGGCCATTAGAAACAGCAGCAACAGTCAGCAGTCCAGTGGTACAACCATGGTGATTTTCTTAAGCTCCATGTTCACATCTGGTACAAGCTTTCAAAGCAAAAAAACCCTTTCTCAACATTTGCAAAGCCAGCTGGCAGACACCCACATTTAATTTGCATGCCCAATTACCCAGCTCATCAGCTTTCCTGTGTGCCGGTTCACCCGGACAGGAGGGATGCTCACACTTCCCCAAGCTTGGGCTTGGGGACACAGTGGATGGCGAATGCCAGCTCGCAGGGATGGAGCTGGGTCTGGGTTTCTGCAGCGGGTGAACTTTGCCTCACTGTGCATGATGAGCAGTGCCTGCAGGCACAAGCACATGATGAGCCCAGGCAGGTCACCAGCCGCTTTTGCCTCTCCCTGCAGCACACAGCATCCTGACCCATTGTTCTTTGTAGGCGCCGCTGGGTGTTGTTGCATGAATCTATCTTAAGGTGAAATCCTGTGGTCTGACCCACCTGTAATTAAAGCTTAATTTAATTTGCATGCTGACAGATCTTAGGTGAGCAATGAGTGTAGTCTGTGCAGAACTCGTGCCTCTGAGATAATCCATTTATTTCTTGGTGGCTTTTTATGAGCTGACGCATTTTGTTCTCTTAACTCCAGGATTTGAAGCGGAGAGGAACCAGTCATTACTTTATGTATTGTTGGGACTTTGCTGTCAGGTGTACCTAGAAGTTGGGTTGAACAAAACACAGCTCCCTCTGAGCTGCTGAACTAAGATACATATATTTTACTTGTTGGATTGTCAGAAAGCCTCTTTGCTGTCCTCAGAGTTGAGTCCTGCAACCGGTGCTCCAGGGATAAAGAGTAGTGAGTGCTATAGGCTTGTATTTGAATAGCTTTAGTGCTATTCACACTTGAAGCAAGAACCTGCCCCTTGTCTTGTCGTAGCAGGGCTGTTGGCATCACTCAAGTATATGCATTAAGTATATGCTTGCAGTTAAGGTTGTGTTTAATTACTGAGGCACATGCCTGACAGACTGTGTAAATTATGGAGGGTTTGATTTCTTGGCCACATTCAGACGTTGGAGAACCATATTATTTAGGCTTTAGGATTGCTTCCTTTGGCTTTGTTTTGTCAGGACGGAAAAGCTGATTTGAAGGAAAAAATAAAGTGATTGGATTCCTGGTTGTGTTTCAGTCTTTTTTCGTCTCTTTGCTTCTTCAAAACCCAGTCAATTCTTTCCTCTTATAAAGCAATCATACTGCTGTGAAAAGTAGAGGGGAAAAAATACCCTCATTATCCCAGTGGCATGTTTTCCTTCTTTTGGTTAGAACTGTGCCCTGAGCTGGGCCCATTTCTGTATGTGATATTTTACTCCTGGTAAAGTAAGTTTGCTTTGACTTTACACAAGGTTTTTATCTACCAGGTGGCTCCAGCTGTGCAAGAATTGATGCACATTAGCGGCTCTGTTGCTCTTATGTGACCAGTTCTTAGTGTCTTTGCGGCATTAGAGCTCACTTTCTCACTTTCAGACAGACGGCTGTTTTCCCAAATTTTAATGGGAAAAAGTTGCTGTTTCTTTCATGCTCAGTGGAATGTAGGCCCCAGAAGCCAAGTTATTCTTATGGCAATTTGGCTTTTGCAACTGCCTCCCAATACACTTGTAATGCAACAGATTGAGGCTGAAGTAGTTCACAGCAGCCACTTGCTTGATGAAGGTCCGTGTACTTTACCTTGCTGTCAAGGCTGTGGGAAAACCCTCACTTTATGGCAGGATAATGGAGCTATGCCATGGAAAAGACCCAAGTCCTTCTCTGTGCCGTATCTTAACCTCCCTCTTGCTTTCAAAGACTGGACTCTGTTGCTCTGTTCCTTGCTGCAATCTGGATTTGCACTTTCCATGTCATTCATGGGCTGATCACAACTGAAAGCCTGGTTTAATATTGGGTTTGTCAGAGTAACTATGGCAAAAAACAGGGGGAGGTTGGCAGGGGACAGCCCGCAGGTAGCCGCAGCTTCCTTAGAGCAACACAAGGAGCAAAGGATGGGAAGAAGCTACCCCACAGTTTATTGCTCTGGGTAATGTGTTTTGCTTCCACGAGTTCTCATGCCTGCTTGATGCATTTGGCTGTGAGTATATGCAGTCCATACCCCTAACCTTCCTGCCCTCACCAGCAGGGTCCGGCTGTGACCCCAGAGATCAGCTTTTACTCTTATTTGCTTTTTGTCACAGCTGAAAAGGCTGCCATTTGGGCTAGGGGAGCACAAGCTCTTTGCCGTATATAAGGGAAGAAAGGAAGCATAGCCTTAACCCAACTATGAAGTACAGCAAGAAACAACTTCTTTTCTTACATGGTGCAGTTAACCGTTTTCCCTGTCCTTGTTGCTTTGCAGATGCACGTACCACTGGAGGCCCAGTGGAAGTGTACATCACTTTGTATGCTGTCTCCTCCACACAAACCTGATGCTCGATTTGCATTTCTGTACGAAGACATTACCAAATCCAGACGTTGCAGCTTTCCATATGAGCTGCCCTGCTTTCATCTCTTCTGTTTAAGCCCGTGCAGAAAACTGTAGCCCCTGACGTTTTTCTGCTCTATGTCAGTGTTGATGCAGTGAGCAAAGTGTAATCACATGAGTAATGTTAAAAGTCTGCCTGACCCTGGAGCTGTTGCTGCAGCTGGTGTGGCTGAGCCGGCTTCCGTAACCACTGGCTGATGTACAGCTAGCATCGTGTCTGATTGCCTCTGGTGTCTCTACCCACATGGTTAGGTGTGGAGACAGGCAGGGACCTTTTTGTGTGAGCAGAAGAAGATGGCATTCACACCTCTGGAGATGCAGCAAGACATCTGCCCTGTGCTGCCACAGTATCAGTGTATCTCACTGATGCCAATACGCCTGCCTTTGCAGAAGGAACTCGGTTTCTGAGGGTAAAATCCCATGGTGTGTTTGTTGTAGTTCTACGAGAAATATTTCATTCTCTTGTTTGTATTTTACAGAAACCTGTTCCCTGCAAATCTTGTTGCTGCAGCTTTCCAAACGGTAAGATACGTGCGGGCTTCGGACATGAGCTACAGTGCACAAACAGACAAAGGGACAACTCTTTTGTAGAAAAGGACTAGACTCATAGAATCAGAATAGTTAGGGTTGGAAAGGACCCTAAGATCACCTAGTTCCAACCCCCCTGCCATGGGCAGGGACACCTCACACACCCAAAGCTCTGTCCGACCTGGCCTTGAACACCACCAGGGATGGAGCATTCACAACTTCCCTGGGCAACCCATTCCAGTGCCTCACCACCCTTACAGTAAAGAACTTCTTCCTTATACCAAGTCTAAACTTCCCCTGTTTAAGTTTTAACCTGTTACTGCTTGTCCTATCACTACAGTCCCTAATGAAGAGTCCCTCCCCAGCATCCCTGAAGGCCCCCTTCACATACTGGAAGGCTGCTATGAGGTCTCCACGCAGCCTTCTCTTCTCCAGGCTGAACAGCCCCAACTTTCTCAGCCTGTCTTCATACGGGAGGTGCTCCAGCCCCCTGGTCATCCTCGTGGCCTCCTCTGGACTTGTTCCAACAGATCCATGTCCTTTTTATGTTGAGGACACCAGAACTGCACACAATGCTCCAGGTGAGGTCCCAGGAGAGCAGAGGAGCATGGTGCAGAAGATACCGAAAGCTAATTTACTTACAGTAGGTTGAATTTTTGAAAGCAGCTGATGCAATCAGGCACCACTTCCATGTCAAATAGTTTGATTTTGGAAAATACTCCTCAAACAAAGACGTATTCATAGCCTATTTTTGTACCTCCACCAAAAATGTTCTTTAAACGTTTATGCTACGGGTGCTGTGTTGGGCAGCAATGGCAACTCTGCTTTGTGCCAGGCTGCTGGGACAGCCTTTCCCCACTTTGCAGGGAAACCCTTGGGTACATAGTTCGGAGCTGAGCTCAGAACAAGCTAAAGACTTTTAGGCTCCCATGCGTGTAAGCATTACCTGTTGCCTGCTGCCTTTATTTGCTATTTTCCATTGTATCCCTTGCTGGATTAATTGTTCAGCCTGGCTTCTCTCCCGGCAGAGGACAAAGTGTGGTAGGGTGGCACTGACACCAGAACGTAGTGTGGTTTATACTGATGGACAGGAGCTGCGGGGCTCCAAGAAGATTTTGATTTAGTTTTTATTGCTTATTTTAGCTGTTGGGATAAACATTGTTGAAAATATCGCTATGGGGCAGAGTGATTCTTTATGGTACAGGAGCAGAATAGTAGTTTTTGCCTTCATGGTATTCTGTGGGTTTGCTTTCGTATCAAAACCAAGGTCAAACTTTCAAAATCGAGTTCCATTTTTAGTGTCTTTATAATACTGTACAAGTCAGTATGCCATAAATAAAAATAGGAGCAGTACAAAAATACAAGTAAGAAAAGGATATTCTGTGATACCTCGAGTGTCAGGGTTCTGTTATGTTCAGGGCTGAAATAAAGAAGTACTCCTTTCCTCTGTGCTGCTGTTGTCACAGGTTGTCACATAAGCTTTTCTTTCCCCTACTTTAGATCTAAAGCAGGCAAGCCCAAAGAAGTGCCCTGCTTTTGCGAGCTGTCTCATTTATTTATCAAAGTAAACTGGTGCCCTAGATTTTAGGTATTTTATTGACAATTTTAATGCCTGCCTTGCCATTTCTAACAGTGAAACAGCCAAAGTGCCACTTGCCTTCTGCAGGAGCCAGTGTGACAGTGTGGTGTGTGAGCAACAGCAGGGTGGAGGGAAGGGCAATTCCTTGGGTGCTTCCCAAACCTGGTTGCTCAGGGGGTCACTGGGCATTTTCTATGACACCACGTGGGAAAGGAGCTGCATATGCTGTGACTCCCTTTTCTTGCTCAGGGCAGGCTCCTTACCTCACTCAGGAGGGTCTCCAGAATAGGTCTTCCTAACAGTAGTCTCCTGCTTGTGCAATCCTAAATGATGTGGTCATAGTGATGGTCTGATCAGCAAACACTGTGGTTTTGTTTGTTTTTCTTACCTGCAGTATGCGACAGACTACAGGATGCTGTCCAGAAACACTACCTCTGGAAATGTCACGTGGGAAAAGGTAAGGTCACTTCTTAAAGTCCCATACAAACTCTTGTCAACTGTAGTATTTGACTGCTTTGCAGTCTTTAACCCTTTCCAGCAGTCGTTGGAAAGGAACAAGTACTTTTCTTTGCGTGGAGCTGAGACACACACAAACCAGATGAGTTACCCACAGCCACACAATAAAGCTGCCATGGACAGGAGACGGGCTTAGCTGATCCTACCCTTGAAACCTTATTTTTAGGCATCCTTTCTTAGACCTGATCTCACTTGATCTAAATTGTGATTAGTCACTCTGCCTATTGTTTCCAAATAACTTTCTGTAGACCTGGAATTAAACAGCAACCAGGCTGGCTGAGGATGTCCCCCAACCCTTACTCTGCAGTAACGGTTTGGGAGAATGAGCTTTTTTCCACTACCCAAGGCTATTTTAAGGGTTGAGAATTTTTTCTTGTTGCCAACTGTTTGAATTTCTGTTTGAAGAGGTAACAAGTGTTCTGATATAGACAGAACATTACAAATAGGCATTCACCCATCTGGCATGCATCCACAGCAATGACTGCAGAAGGGCCATGCGATCCTTAAAGAGCACTTCCTCTTCTCGCACCGATACATCCTTGGGCAATACATTCCAATGCAGCCTAATGCTGCTAAAAACCAAGTTCAGTGTAAAGGCTATGACAGTGTGCACTTAGAGTCTGCAGGGTGTAGTTATTCTTCATTTACTCACCTTTCATTTCCCCCTGCTTAAGACTCTTACCTACCTTCAGTGTCAAGTTGATAAGGGCTCTGTGGCAACCAGGCATGGATGAGGGCCAACCATATCCACTGGACACAGACTTGGCTGTTGAGTATTTTTAATGCTTGTTCACAGCCATCACTCTTCTTGAAGACACCAGAATGCATCTTTTGGCAGTTTAAAATGGGAGGTGGTTTTTTCAGTTTTCTTCTTTCCTTTTCCCTCTTATCAGGCTCCTGTTTGATGCAATATCAGAAAAAATACTCCCAAGTTTGTCATCAGCACCTGTTTTTGCCAGGGGTAATGATGTAAAGGTTATTTCTGCTATGATTTTTCCAAAACCTTTCTTCAGTTGTTGGAGCAAAACCAGAGCTGAGATGCTTTAATTCCACAGGACGCCCAATTGTCCCTAGGGAAGAAAGGACTGGATAAAAAAGAAAACATTGTCTCAGTTTTGTTAGCTCAGTTTCAGTACTGCTCTGACCATATTGTTTATGGGTAGTTGAGGGTTAAGTCTGGAAAGGAAGAGTTAGGATTTTTGGATAATACATGGTATAAATATCATAGAGATAGAAGCTGGGTTCCAGGGAAAAAGATGCTATTCCTATATAATGTTTTCTTTCATCAGCAGAATACTTGATGGAAGAGGAGTAATGTTTTCTGGTTTCCATCTGAATAGTGTAGAGCAAAATTTTCCATTGATTATATTATTTTTCCCCTCACTGGTTAATAGGTCTTGTCTTCTCTTGCTGTTGATATGAATAGTGGGGCACGTAGGTGTCTGCTCAGCAATGTGGGTTTTGTTGTTTCACATGCTCCCCTCGTGTTTACCTTGCTTTTATGGCTATATCCTCTCCATCCCCTCAGCAGCAAGGTTTCCTGGGGCACAGACTATCTCAGTTCCCCATCTGCAGCACAGGGAAACTGTGGGGGGACTCTGGGTTCCTCCTGTGTAAAAATACACAAACCAGTGATTGCTCTTCTTCCTCACATCACACGGCTGCATTCTCTTTTCAGCCACCTACTACTGGGAGAGCTCAATGGCAGCAGTTGTTTCCTTGATAAGCATTTCATTTCAAGAGCTAAAAAACAATAGGATTTTCAGAGAAATTCAAGGACCAGAAGAGCTCCCTGCATCTTGCTACCAGAGCACATGATTTAAAGCAAACAATAACTCGTCCCATAGTTTATCCAGGAACAAAGCTCTCATTAAAGCTCTTTTTGTTTGGTGTCCACAATGCTGCTTAGTTTGGCAGCTCCTTTGGGGTGATGCACTCTTCTGTTACAGTACAAAAAGGCCGTTCAACGTTGGCCAGTTTTAGGGGCTGGGATTGAGAGAATCTTCCGCTGAAGATTTACTGCTGGACTCTTTCCATATTGTGCTCCAAGGAGGTGAAATTCCCTGGATGCTGGCAGATTGTCCTCTTGATTTGCAGGGAGCAATTTCCTGCAGTAAGTTACTACTATGTGCAAACGATGCACCTTCTGCCCACATCTGTGGTGATGGGAGGCAATGGTGAATGTTGGGTGACATAAAGAAATGGGGTCAAGAGAGAGAAAGGGAGAGCAAGACCTGAAAAGAGGGACCTAGAATAGCCCTGGCCTTGTCTAGTCAGGGAAGTGGCATTCCAAATTAAGCACTAGGAGGTTTGGCCATGGTCCTCCTGTGTGCTTTCCAAGCTCTGTCCTGCTCTGTGATCCTGTGTGCCCTGCACAGCTGGTGGGAAGCTGAGCTGAATGTTACAGATTCAGTACCCTTCTGCCCCGTTCCTGAGAGTAGAGCTGTGAAAGCCCAAACAATAGCAGGTTGCTTCAGGCTCACACAGACTCACACCACTGCTTTCAGTGAGTTGAGAAGCAAATCTCCAGTAGAAGGAGCTTATAAAGGAGAGATGCTTCGCAAAGCTTTCATATATAGAATAATGGAATTCCCTCCCAGCAGTATCCCTGTGGGAATGCTGGGCACTTCCAGCAGCTTAAAGCACTGAATTTCTGTTCCACAGCAAAGTTTGATGTATATTTTTTTGTCTGAATGAGAATCAAAACAAAAGAGCACTCAATGTCTTTAAGATTATTTTGTGTGTGTGCATGTGGAAAAAGTTTGGGCCCATTATGGTAAAATTCAGTTGCAAGCCTTGTGTTGAATGAACCTGATATAAGATGTTATATTATAAACTAATGAGTTGGAAAAAACACCAAACCAACCCCCCAAAAACCCCCAAACCAACAAGGTGAAAAGTTGTGTCAAAATGGGGAAAGGTTGCATTCACTCCATGTGCATAAAGTGTTTCTTTTCTGGTGTAAAAACGTTCACATTTTGCCCAAGTTCCCATTTCCCAGAGAAAGCATTGGTTTTGATGAACAGACATGGCATTCCCCTGTTTAAGCTTGAACTTGTTACCCCTTGTCCTGTCACTACAGTCCCTAATAAGCAGTCCCTCCCCAGCATCCCTATAGGCCCCCTTCAGATACTGGAAGGCTGCTATGAGGTCTCCACGCAGCCTTCTCTTCTCCAGGCTGAGCAGCCTCATCTTTCTCAGCCTGTCTTCATATGATTTAGCCTATCAGGTTTAGCAGCTCAGTATCCCAGGTTCTTTACTCAGTGTTCATTTCAAGCTTTTAGCTCAGAATATGTTTTTCTTTCCTAGCGTTGAGCCAGTGTCTACTTAAACCAGCCAAAAGGCCAACACTTGTACACAGCCCTAATCTGTTTGAGAAGCTCTTCCAAATAAAACAACAATTTGACATGAGCTTGCACTGCCAAGCTGGGGATAAAAAACCCGGTTTGTCACAGCAATTGTATTTTTATGTAGCCACAGGAACACTCTTTCAGTTCATAGGATACTACCCTGGCAAACCAGCTCTGGTTGTCTTTGAGAACTGTGAAGGACTGGCAGAGCAGACTTGTGAGCAGACTTTCTTGTCAATAGGTGGATCCTGGTTTTCTCCTCTTTTACCATGCAGCCACATGATTTTTGGGAAGGGGAACGGATATTTCTTCTATTCTCTCTGCATCTCCCACAGCTGACATGGGCAGATGAATGGGCAGTTTCCACAGTTTGCTACCTTCCTCTCCCCATTTCCCCCCTTTCTGCTTCATAACATTGGTTGTTTTCCCCCGGTTTTCACCTTGGTATAAATATTGCACTAAAGCAATGGATGGAGCTGGCTGTTTCTGAGAGCAGATTCCCATCAGAGGTGTCAGAAATAAGAGATGTTTGGGGCCAGACCACTGCAAGCCTCTTGGAGGTATGATTTGTTTAGGCAGTAGAATATTGTAGTGTCAGCAGTGAATGATGCTTTGTGGAATAAGCAGAGGTGGGAAGTCAATATCACCCGTATCTGCCATTTGTGTCTGCGGTCTCTCCAACACCTGTCTTCCTTTATGGGGAAATAGGGGTTTCAGTCTTTAACCACAAATGGATTTGGTGCCTGTACTGTTTTGCACCTGCAGTGAGCTTGTTGTCAGTAAACTGGGGATGTTTGCTGTTCAGGTCACTAAAAGCACACATATCACATTGAAGGGCATGAGGGAAGGTAGCATCAGACCCTTTCCTTCTCCAGTGAATCCATGACAGCTCATAACAAGGAAGGTTTATATCTGGACTGTGTCCAGATCTTGTTTGGTTTCCTTCAACAAATAGGTTCTTCCTTCCCAAGGTAGGTTCTGCTTGTTGATTTCGAATCAATTGGACAGCAACAAAAGGAGGTGGTACTTTTGTTGGGTTTCGTGCTGGTCTTGCATCTAACAAACAACCGGTTTTTTGTCTCTACAGATCCCTGTTGGTACTGAGGTCGAAGGGATGAATATCCTGGGACTGGTGCTGTTTGCTCTGGTTTTAGGGGTAGCACTGAAAAAGCTTGGCCAGGAAGGGGAAGATCTGATTCGCTTCTTTAATTCATTCAATGAGGCAACTATGGTCGTGGTTTCCTGGATTATGTGGTAAGTGTGACTGCAGTGTATCATTATGTTTAGCTCAGGAATCTCACCATTTATCCATCTTTCCAGCTTTTTCCTACCAGATCTCTCATAACAGCAAAAGCAAATGTCATTGTGTCACATGATGGGCTCTTTCCTTCTTGCTTGTGCCTTGTAATTACTCACTCACATACCTTAAGGTACCGGTCTGGAACACTTCAGAGGCTCTCCAGGACTCATTTTTGATTAATCAGTGGAAATGTGGGTTTCTATTTCAAAGCAGCATAAGCCAATGGCTAGCTGCCATCATGTGCCTAAAGGCACTGCCCTTGAATGAATACAGGAGATGGGAGCAAGTGAGGCATATGGTTGTGTGAAGGCCAGGAGTGTTTGTGCTTGGAGTGCACGTGCAAATGCAGTGTGTAACTAAAATCATAGCTTCGTGCCTTCATTTTTCTGTTGGTCAGGAGGTTACTTTTAGTGACCTGAAAGATATGCAAGGGGTTTGAGAGAAACCCTGTTGAGTGCATGAGTACAGAGCACTATCTCTTCGTTTGCATCAAAGGGTGATGGCGAACCTATATCCCTCTGTATAGAGGGGAGAAACAGTCTCCAGGGCTATGCTCTGAAACGGTAGTGCTGGCTATTGAATGTTTTGTCATTGTTACCAGCAGAGCCTGAGTTACACAGTGGATTTTAAACCTCTGCTCCTCCTTTAAGATCTCCCTTATTTTCTTGGGTAAAGCAGGAATTAATGTTCCCAGCAGCAATCAACTGTTTGTGCTTGTTTCTCCAGAGATTCTTCTCGTTTCCATTTCACATTCCTGAGAAGTAGATATTTCTTAAGGTTGTTCAGTTATTTTGTCTCCTGCTATTAATGAGCATTATTTCGCTTACTTCCCCATAGTCCAGACACGTTTATAGGCTGAGTGTCACTCTGACCAGTCTCACAAAGCTTTTGGCACCAAATAAAGTCTGTATGTTAGGAACTGGAGTGCACTGAACTTTCTCTCTAGGCAAGAAACCAGCAGTGGAGGAGGCAGGCACCTCTAGAGAGCAGGTCAGGCCACGTCAGCTGGGGCAGGACCAGCCTCCTGCCTGGGTTTTGTGTCAGGTAGGGTGAATCTGGGTCTCAGAGCAGTATTATGGCTGGTTTTGTGCAGCTGGATGGGTCTAGGCTGCTCCTGTGAAACCAACAGTTCTAATACCTGACACACAAAACCAGACATATTCATAAGGACAGCTAGCTAACAAATCAACAGTGGGACATTCCTCGCACCCTTTCTAAAGCTGCTGGAAAAGCTATGAGCTTATCTTAGCCGAGGTATTTTTATTCCCTTCATTCTGCATTTTTCATTCCTGCTATTTGCTTCCTTCTAAGAAGTGAAAAGGTTTTAACAAACCACCTGATTTTACACAGGCAGATCTCTGTTAGTTGCTGTCATAAAGGATTGAAAAATTCAAAGTCTCAAAGTAGCTTAAGTCTTTTGAGAGTAATTCCTTGGACACTGAATACTGATACGAGGCAGTTCTTGTATTCAGCTGATTACAGTGCTAACACTTGAAGCCAGTCAGTTGGTATATAATCCTTTACTTTGTGGATTATTGGGGCCACAGCTGACTCTTAACACTGCAGTGCTCCGTAGCCCTTGCTTGTTCTCTTTCCTTACTTACAGCTCTTGTGCTGTCCTGGTATTTATTCAAAGCCTGTCAAGCTGCATGTACCTCCCAAAGGATACTTTGCAGTGGGCAAAATCATACTACTAATTAAAAAAGGCAGCTTAAGCTTGTATTCAGTCCCATGCAACAGCAGCACTTTGGTCTCAACTTTAGTTCCCCCCCTCTTCAATGATCCAGTCTCAGCTCTGAATCGGTGTTCATGTTTGCAGAGCTTGCACAGAGCCAGGGCTCAGCTAGATGTGGCTGACTGGGGTGATAAGAAGTGAGGTTCAAAGGCAGTATGTGCAGAACTGGCTAAGTGGGGATGGGTCAACAGGCTCCCCATGAGATTTGACCGAGGGAGGACAGAGGGAGTGTGCCCACATGGGCCATGAGGAGCTGTTCTTTGTTCATAGAAGGAGTGATGTGGGTAACTTTAAGGCTTGCCCCTTTCCAAACCTTTGCATGTGTAACCAAACCTTGTCAAGCTTTGTCCTGACTCCACAGATCAGCTTTTCTGAACATGGGCAATGGATAGGAGGGGAGAGTGGGAGAGAAACCATTCTTTATTCCTGTAATGTACAGGCAGATCTCCTGTAGTCATGTGTGAGCTGGGGCAGGGTTCTGGGGAGCTGGGTGATCTTTTTGTGTTTCTCAACCTTAGAAGCAGGAATCTATGGAGCATGGACAGCATTGGCAGAGGTACTCAGACACGGGCTTCCCAAGTAGAACTCCAGAGGAGCTGATCCTGAGCATGAAGTGATGCCTGCAGTTCATTAGTAGCTGTGCTGCTGTAGGTGCAAGGGCAATTCCGTGTTTAAAGGGCTGTTCCCAGCTGCACTGCTGGGACCAGAGGTGTGGCTGTGTCCTGCAGGTTGGCCCTACCCCTGGATCAGCTCCAAGTGCTCCTGACGAAGGCAACATCAAACAAATGCTGACGTCCTAAGACGTGGCATGTTTCTAGATAGGGGGTATGGGAATGTGTGTGTACGTGGCTGTTGGCTTGAGTGGAGCTCTGAAAGCCTGGTCATTTAACTTTGTCTTTGTAGGCATATAGCAGAGTTAATTGCTATCTTTGGCAGATGCATCCACAGCCTTCAGCTGAGCTCTGTGCTATGGGCATAGCTTTCTCTTCCCTACACTAAATATATTGTCCCCCAGTATGTCTGCCATTGGAACGACCTAACTTCATACTTCTGCTGGTAGTCACCACGTCTGTAAGATCCTACTCTTCCATCCCTTTCTGTGCTCCAGTGACATGACACGGCTCCTTTTTCTCTCCTACCATCTGCTGTCCCTTCAGCAGTGACTTTAGCTTTAGGTCTTTGCCTTCCTTCCTGATGGACTAAAACTCCACACCAGTGTGTTGTGCTTATGGCTTCTGCCAGCATTTCTGCTTCCCACTTGGCTTCCCTCAGCATTCTCCTAGCTGAAACAGAGCTCTTTCAGTTTGACACTCTTCCAAGCAAGAGTGTTAAAGAAGCCTTCCAAATCCGCTTAACCTGTGTGTGTGATGAATAAGGTGCTACCCTTCACTAGAAGTACCATATTCCTTAGGAGAATGCTATCTCCAGGACAGAAAAATGGCATATTTTTGTACTTAATGACAGGCACTGTTTCTTTACACAGGTATGTACCTATTGGCATCATGTTCCTTATTGGGAGCAAGATTGTTGAAATGGAAGATATTGTGGTTCTGGTGACCAGTTTGGGAAAATACATCTTCGCCTCTATTCTGGGCCACTTCATCCATGGAGGAATCATTCTGCCACTTATTTATTTTGCATCCACACGTCAAAATCCGTATCGTTTTCTCTTGGGACTTATCACACCATTTGCCACTGCTTTTGCCACTTGTTCCAGGTGGGTTTCTGTGCTTCTGTGGGGATTATAGTCTGGTTGTATTTGTCACTGGAAACTGGTTATATCCCAACACCAGGCTGTGTTGAGATTTGGGTGTGAATATTGTTCCTGAGATTGCAAACAGATAGCTGTGAACATAGAGGGCCTTACTGCTGTCAGCAGCTGCCACACAGCACATACTGGTAAATAGCTGGTGAAAACAGTTCCTTGAAGTATTAGGACTGTAGCATGATGCTGAGTTGGAATTTCTGGGGAAAAATGTGAAAGAATTGGCCTTAAAAATGATCCTGCCAGCTCTCTTTTCAGTTTTAAGTAAAGTGAAGGTCAGTGGTGAGGGACTTTGTCCTGAGAATTTCAGTTCTCCAAGTTCAGAAGGATCTGGAACAAGGTTAGACTAATTTTGCAGGAGCAAAGCAGATGACATGGGTGACGTGGTTTAGTGTGAGGTGTCCCTGCCCATGGCAGTCGGGTTGGAACTGGGTGATCTTAAGGTCCTTTCCAGCCCTAACTGTTCTATGATTCTGTGATATATTAGCTAGTGTAAATGGACTTCATATTGTTGATGTCAAAGATTTGGCCTGATCAGCTTTCATTTGTCATACCCAAGCTGTCAAGCATTTCATTTACACTTCTCTCAAGAGGCAAACACCTGATCAAATACCATAAGTATACACAGTCTTTTCAGGTCACCTCCAAAAGCACAGATTGCACTTCCACAGGAGCTGAAGTACATCAAGCAGGAGAGGGTAACTTATAGCGCAAGAAATAAATGCAACAGCGTTTATTCTATTTGTTCACTTGAGAAGGTACTCGTACAACATTAATGGAGATTGCTGTTGCTTGTGTTGTGTTTATTTTGGCATCTGTCGGTGTATTTCTGTGGGTTGAAACTTGATCATTCCACAGCCCTGTTAGGCTGCATTACTGCGTTAAGTCATGAGTTCTTGCTTCTGGGAGATTAGGGTTCTTATCAGCTATTTCTGGACGGAAGCAGGTTATTAAATATCACTGCTCAAGACCAACAAGGCAGGTCCCTCTTTGCTGTCGTGTCAGAGGGGGACTGTTGAAATGGCATCGTTGTCTTGACAGCCCTGTCTGCAGCTTGTTAGAAACATGAAAGCCATGAGAGTGGCTTTCCATTCGGTGCACCCTGATGCTTTTGATGTTTGATTTTTCCCTGTTCTCTGTTTCCTAGCTCAGCCACTCTCCCGTCAATGATGAAATGTATTGAGGAGAACAATGGAGTTGACAAGAGGATCAGCAGGTTTATCCTTCCTATCGGGGCGACTGTAAACATGGATGGAGCTGCGATCTTCCAGTGCATGGCAACTGTGTTCATTGCTCAGCTGAACAATGTGGACCTCAACGCTGGGCAAATCTTCACAATTCTGTAAGCTGCTTGCTATTGCAACCGCATCCTTCTGGCCCCCAGACACATTCAAGCCTGTGGTTTCCCTGTTAATAGCTAGCAGTGTGCATTCCACATCTCTGACCTAAAGCTGGTGAACCGCTAGGAAACATAATTACAGGGTGATTAAAGGATGGAGGCTTTCAAACTTGATAAGATTTGCCAGAATCTCAATACAAGGTGGAATCCGGGAATGGTAACTGAATTCCAAAACAGACTCTGAGCTTTTTAAAGCTGTTTCTCACATTAAATTCCTCTCCTTCCTCAAGCATTTCACTTCCCTACCCCTCACTCACCATTAAGCTGGGTAATCGAGGCACGTTGCTCTACCCAGAAAGCTACCCCTGATTCCTCCTCTGGATGTCTTGGAAGATCCTTCTGCCACCTCCTCAGTTCCTTATGTATTGATTTCATATGAAAGACTCTGCTCCTGCTTACCTCTGCCCTTCCTACCATGACGTCACTGCCTTCCCAGGTCAGCCCCACTGTCAAGCCCCTCCTGGCTGCTTTGCTCCACTATCCCTCCACCACCTCAGTCCCGCCTCCTTCTATAGGACTCTCTCCCCTCCCATGTCCCATGACCCATCAAGTGTCATTGCCTTCATTTCCCTGCTCCTGAAGTGAGGATCCTACAAGGAGTTCTAGCCCCTCACTGCCAAGAAGTCAGACCTGTATCCACCAGATGCCTCTTAAAGCTGGTTCCTGGCATTTTTTTACCCTCCGTGGCCAGGTTTTATTTCCTTCCTTATTGCATTTCTTGGTATATTATTTGTTTATCTAAGGCAGGGCTGGCCCATTATTTTTTTTGCAGATGGTCAAATTAGCCTCTCAGGTATTCTTAGTGAATGAGGTGTTAACACAGGCCTGAGGATTATGCAGTGATCATCCAAGGAAAACTCAGCTGTAGACAATGAAAAGGTGTGCGGTCCATGTCTATACCACATGGACTGCAGGTTTCCAGCTCCTGATGTAGGGTTTGTGCTAGATTGCAAATGAGACAGAGAAGAGGCAGTACTCTGCATGTCAGGGTTTACCTTTGTATGCTTAGGGGCAGGAGGTACGATGTACTTAGCATATTTGAAGTGACAGATGACTTGGAAATGGGTATATTGGTAAGGCAGCAGGATCTGGTTGTGTTGGTTGGGGTGTTTTGCCTTTTTCTGAAAGGGCAATCACTGTATTAAACACAGAGCCATTGCCTTGGTAGCTGCTGTGGATGCCTGCTGAGCCACTGTGCTCTGCACCCATTGCTTCGCATCAGCCAGCAGGAAAAGATTCGCCTGGGAAGCAAATGATCCTTGTGTCCCATGCTGGAGAGTTTGTTTACAATTCCCATAGCGGGGAAGCGTGGGATGCAAGTGTGGAAGAGGAGCTGCTGCTAACAGGGTGTGCAACTTGATTTGCAGTGTGACAGCTACTGCATCCAGTGTGGGTGCAGCCGGGATCCCAGCCGGAGGAGTCCTCACCATCGCCATCATCTTGGAGGCCATTGGACTTCCGACCAACGATCTCTCCTTGATATTAGCGGTGGACTGGATTGTGTAAGTACTTCAGGCCACATACCTGCTGTTAATGATGTGTAGCTGGAAACATGGAGCTTCCTAGTCAAAACAGTGCAGTATAAAATAAAACCATACAATATATGGTTGCCTACAGGACTCTTGATAGATAATGGAAAAGGGGGTCCCTTCCCAAATAAAGCAGTAGGATACAATCACAGGGTCACAGAATGGTTTGTGTTGGAAGGGACCTTAAAGCCCATCCAGTTCCAACCTCCTGCCATAGGCAGGGACACCTTCACTAGATCAGGTTGCTCTAAGCCCCATCCAACCTGGCCTTGCCAGTTTTGAAGTCCTCCAGTCAGTTAAATGTGGTTGCACACTCTGTTCTGCTCTCACGGTGGTGCCTTTGAGCAGGCAGATCCTTATGCAGCTGGAACTGGATGGTCATTGCCAAACATTTCTCTGTGAGCACTCGGCAAAATCAAAACATATTTCTTCCTGGTCTCAATTTCCTTAGGAAGATGGTTAAAAGTTTGGACAGAAAGTGTTGGTATTGCTGGAAATCAGTTGGAAATTTGGATGGAAACGGGGGGGCAAAGGAAATGGAGTCTGCATGGTGGTGGCAAGCCTTTTTTGTCACACGTGGGAAGCAGTCTTCATCAGAAGCGGTTGTCAGCTCTTGTTGTTTGAACTATTTTTTATAGTCAGGACTAGTCAAAGCAACAACCAAAACGTCACAGAGAGGTGCCATCCATCAGCACGGTAGGGACATAGAGGGTTCGTGACACTCATCACAGTGTCACAGCTGGAACATGCTGCTGGGAGTCCCAAGTTTAATACACAATATTGCCACCTTTCCTTTCCATCTTTGGGGAAATGGATAAAAGGCCAGGATTTTGCTTCTCTTCTTTCCAAAACACATTCCCTCTCCTTGAAACATGGGAGATTATCTCCTTGCCCAGCTCTGCTTGGAAGAGCTTATCTCCCCACTTACTGTACTTAGGTCCTTGTTAAGGCTTAAATTTCCCTTCTGCACCACTTAGATTAAGGAAAGGTTAGGAAAATTGTTTTACTTTAAGTATTGGGGACCCAGCCACAAGTGCATGGTGAGCGTGAATGCCACATGGGGATGATTTCTTCTATCTTAGATGAGCCCTGTGGAAAAGGGTATCTGCTTTTCCTTGAACAAGCCTGGCTGGCTGCTGTCCTTCAAATAGCAGGAAATCAGACTGGAAGGATCCTCTGAGCACTCATGAATTGCAGCATGCTTGGAGTTTAAATGCTAGTGGAGCAGGCATGATCTGATAATTAAAACACATAATCTGCTTTCAAGCCATCTGGTTGAAGTTGGGCAGTGGGCTGAAGTGACTGGTCAGTGTGGGTCAAGTGATGTGAATCCCATTGGGGTCTTTTCCAGTTGGGTTACTGGGCAGTTCCTGGTTTAGACTGTACATAATCCCTCTGCCTTGCTTTTTGGAAACACCAGCCTCTCTGTATAGGTGTGTACTTCCACATCAGATGTGGAAATGAGGATGCCTGAGGACACTTGAATTGCAGAAGCTGAGGGAGGCGACAGCTCTCTTTCCCTTCCCACACCACATGTGTCTGTGGAGTGTAATCATATTCCTATGGCCTCATTAGGGCCATCAAATTCTATGGCTGTCGCTTTTTGGGGATCAGCCACCTCCAAAGGACAGGAGACACAGGCAAAGCAGTGGATAGCCATTTGTATCCCATCTTCCTAAGGGATTACAGTATTAGATTTGATTTCTACAAGTGCTCGGAGGCGAGAGTGAAACCCTTCCCCTTCCTTTCACTCTGGCTTCCCTCAGCCTGTGTACGCTGGCTGCCTTCATTTCAAGATGTGTAGCATCCCTCTGTGGTCAGCAGTGTTCTGATCAAGGAACTGAGCCTTGTGGTAACAAAAGGGGAAAGGAGGGAGGGAGAGTCCCGTGTCTTGTTTAGTACCAGCTGTGTGATCACCAGAAAGGACCACAGTTACAAGTTGAGCACGTTGAAGGTAGGCTCCAGAATGGCCAACAGAAGTCTCAGAAGGCACATGAAGAAATTGTTCTTTATGATACGACAAGGGGTAATGGGTTCAAACTTAAACAGGGGAAGCTTAGATTGGATATAAGGAGGAAGTTCTTTTCTGTAAGGGTGGTGAGGCACTGGAATGGGTTGCCCAGGGAGATTGTGAATGCTCCATCCCTGGTGGTGTTCAAGGCCAGGTTGGGCAGAGCGTTGGGTGACATGGTTTAGTGCGAGGTGTCCCTGCCTATAGCAGGGGGGTTGGAGCTGGATGATCTGAAGGTCCTTTCCAACCCTAACTATTCTATGATTCTATGACCCATAAACTGCCTCCATTAGACCCCAGGACACAGTAGTTTTGTGACATGGGACCAAAGCTTCTACTGGCAAGAAATCCAGAGAACGGAGTCATTCTGCCTGCTCCTCTTCAGTAGGCGTTTGGGTTAAGGTACAAGTCTCTATAGTTAAAAAGAGAGCTGAGTGCTCTGGGTCACCTTCTGGATAAGCCCAAATTAAGTTCCTGCTCTGAACTTGCATTTGAAAGCTGCTCACCTGGGGAAGGGGAAGAGGAAGGAGGTGGGCTGGAAAAAGTGGGATGCCTGAGAAAGAGTAGTACCATTGCTGCAACCCACTGAGAGACCAGAACCAGCTGATAGTAACAGTTGGGCTGACCTTAAACCAGCTGTGGTGCACAGTTCTGGTTCTGAGATGGTGATGATACTTCTGTGGCAAATACCTGTTGTAATGACTTCTCCTTTGCGTAGCTCCACTGCAGCCAGTGGATCAACAGGGCTGAATCAGCTCCTCTTCTTGTGTTGCAACTCTCTTAAGCTAAAAGCCTGCTGCTTTGTTTCTTGTTCCTGTTTAACCAGGGACCGAACCACCACAGTTGTGAATGTGGAAGGGGATGCCCTGGGAGCAGGCATCCTCAATTACCTGAACGAAAAGGAAAAGAAAGACAAAGAACAGGAGCTAAAGGAAGTCAACGTAGAAGCAGTTGCTAACAGCAAGTCTGAAGCGGAAACATCGCCTTTGGTAACCCACAAAAACCAAGTCTCCAACACGAGCAGTACAGCAGACCCTGAATCCAAGGAATCAGTATTGTGATGATGCTGTTCGTCAGCACGTGTCCTAGAGGTGGACCAGGGACTTGCTAACGCACCTAGACCTTTGCAGTGCTAACAAGGGCTGGATGGCTCTTGAAAGCTTTCAGTTCCAGTCTGTTTTGGGATATGCTGGCCTAGGGAAGGGGAGGGAGGTGGGGTGGGCAGAGAAGGGGTGTTGAGAAAGAACACTCCCTTTATAGTAGTATTTTGATAATTCATGTGTGTACATGTGTATGTGCTGCACACGCACACACATACACATGTACGTGGAAACTGCCATTGAAACTTCTGGTTTAACAAGGCTTCTGTTAGTAAAGGCTCATATGGGTTGGAGGTGGGGAAGTAGACAAACCCAGTATGTGCTTGTGATAGGGAAAAATTAGTAAGCTTATTGTGCTGCTGTTTGAATGGAGATGCAGGCTAGGAACTCCAGAGTGGGGGAAAATGTTGCTTGAACTTCGTTTCTGGCCTGGAAACATGTATTGACCGTTACAGACATGATACGAAGCAACATTTTTTGCCTACTCCTTTTCCTCTTCCATTCTCTTCTCCAATCCCTTAAAAACATCAAATATGTCCTGAAAAATAGCTTTGTTTTTTTTCCATATCTGAATTAATAGCTTGTTCCATTCCACTCCCTGCAGTGCAGCTCATAGCAGCTTTTCTGCCTTTTGGTAAGTCACTCCCAAACTTTGGGACCAAACATAGATCTTCATGCAGATCAAGGACTGGTTTTCTCCTTTCCTTTAACCAAGCTGTTAAGGAAAAAAACCCAGAGGAAACACAAATTTTGTTAAAGTAATCTCTCGGGAGCTGAAGAAAATGTCAAGTCTGTTCCAGCATAAATAGGTCTGAAAGAAGCTTGCCTGTGACAGCATCAAGAGATCAAGAAGTCAGTTCCCTTCACGCAGACTCCTTTGCTAGCACGCTATGTGCTACTCCTGTTTGTTTAATGGGTCAGTCCAAACAAGTTACATCATATCCCTCTTCCAGCAAAATTGAACAGGGGAAGAAAAACTCTGAGCACACATCATGTGGGAACTGACGACAGGCAAGTCTGAGTGCTGGCTGGAAAGGGGAAGAGGTGGGTTTATAACCCCACATAGGGCAGTGATGTGTGTGTTGGGGCAGCTGCGTACCTGTTCCTCGAGTTTGGTCCTTCTATAAATGTTTTTTCTGGCAGCAGCTTAACATTTAGTACTTGTGGGTGGTGCTGGGCCAGGGTAACACGTAGCAGCAGATGGTAACCTTTGCTTGAGGCTGAGCAAAACGCTTCTCGATTCTGACTCCATCTTTTCCCCTTTACAACCTACTTGCTGCATTTGCACCCCGAACCTGAACACAGTCCAGCAGAACTCATTGCAAAACTACTATTGATTTATCTGGGCTTTTTGGACAGCACATAGTTATGAAATTATATCTGTGCATATGCCAAGGTTTGCCTGGACTTGCGACACTTCCTCTTGGCTACTTTAGCAAGATGGCTGCATATAGTCAGTCTCCACACTGTTAATTCAGCAATATACATTTACACTTAGCTTTGATATAAAGTAATGCTGAGTCTCCCTTTTTTCTTTCTCCTGTCTTGCTTCAGAGGAAGCTATCTTGGAAGGATACCCAGCTGCTGATGCATATGGTCACGGCACTAGGAAAAGGCACCTTCAGTTTCATGCAATTTGCAAAGCATCCTTCCTGGTAAAGGGACACGATGAGCGTTGCAAAAAAAGATGCTCAGAGTGAGATGTGGCTGCCTCTGAGGGAAAACACAGTGAGTGCATCCAACGTGGCTCTTCAGTCAAGTGCAGGAGGGCTGTGCAAACAATTGAAGTAGGAAAGCATTAGTCAGCCCACTGAGCAACTGCAGGTGGACTTTCTTTTTAACCAGTTTATTTATAGCCATATCCACAAAATTTGGTCATTCCTTGGCTCCTCTTCAGAATGGAAGGAGACAAACACAATTTTCTCTAGGGACATCCTTTGCCCAGTATTTATTATTCCATTTTTAGCAGATCAAGACTCGCTGAAACTTTGCATTTCCTCCCATTAGATTCGTCCCAACTCCTTTCAACTCAGGAAACCAAAAGCGCACTTTGTAGCTGACAGTGAAAGTCAACAAATAAGATGTGTTTTGAAAAATGCTGGAGGTTTGAAAATGTGGGTCTCAAAAACCTTTTTTTTTAAAGAAAATAACCCAAACCCAAGTATTTATTTGAAAAATCTGAATGCACCAGAACCCCAAATACTTTGATTTTAAAGTAGTATGTGTCTGTCTCAAGGAAGCTGAAAAACAAGACTGTGCCTTGTGGGCTGGGTTCTGTAGTTGCATTTTATCCCCCTTCAGACAGCTTAGCTCCTCTGATGCTCTCCCTCACCATGACACGTGCAGCTGGGATGAGGACGTGAGAGCAGGCAGCACTCTCATGACATTTCCCATGGAGCATCACAGCACCCTTGTAGACTAGAATATTTCCCAAGTTTTACTTTTTTTAACCCAAAGGCTGTTATTGCTCACAGTTGAAAGTATTCTCCTGGACAAGTCCAAAGGCTGGACTTCCTCAAAGGCAGCACCTTCCCATTGCTTTCTTCCTTGTGGTGCTGCAGCTTGATTGCGCCTCACTTGTAATAGCGTGCCATAGGCTGCAGCACATTCCTTCATCATAGAATCATCATGGAATGGTTTGGGTTGGAAAGGACCTTATGATCATCTAGTTCCAACCCCCTGCCATGGGCAGGGATGCCTCACATTAGACCATGTCGCCCATGTCCTTCTGGCAGCAGATCCCAGGAAATGGTAAATGAAAGCCAATACTGAAGAGCTGCCGTAGTATTTCCCAGTATGCGGAATCTCAGAGTCTTTGCTGAAGGATGCCTCTCCCAGTCCCTACATTTTGCATCAATGGGAGTGGCTAGTCCCATGTAAAGCTTGTTAGAGCAGTCAGATTTAAGGAAGTCTTAATTGTTCTCATAGTAGGAATTTAACCAAGGAAACCTAACACTCCTTCTCCTCAAAATAGGTGCTGTGGGGTTTATATGAATCACTGGTATTTGGGTTTTAACCAGAAACCTGTAATCTTACAGAAGCCGTTCTTTAGACTTACAGAGATGCCAGTTCTGTTCTTGCACAGCAAGAGGGATCTATGGAAGCAGGAATGCTGGGTAACTACTGCTTGTCAAAAGATCTTCTTTGTCTTTTCTGTGTCATCTGTGTCAGAAATAGCATTTCTTGGTTGTCTGTGATGTTCCCATTCCTCATGATAGCCATCCCGCATCTCCTAGGGCTCTCCACCCGGCTTCACATTGTTTTTGATTAAGGTACAAATGTGAAATACCCAACATTACACTCCTTTGGACTGTAAGATACTTGACACATTGCAGGAACTGCCCTTGTAACGATGTGAATCCTGATCGAAAGCCCGATGAGACAGAAGACTTGCCATGTGCTCCAAGTGGGTAAGGCCACTGGGAGAGAACTGAAAGGGCTGTTGAAAGGGGTGCGTTTCGGATGCTGTCCTTGACCTGCAGTGCAATGTGTTACACTGGGAGCTTCCTATTTCAGCCTCACTCCAGAGGCTGAGCTCAGAATGTGCTCAGCAGCGGTGCAGGTACAGTCGGTGGTACCTGCTCTGCTCTCACCCAGGCACTCCAGAGCCTGGTGCCGGTGTGGTACTTCACTCCAATGCCTCTGGACCGGACATGTGTGCTATGTCCTCCCAATGTGACTGTCCAGTGGAAGCCTTTAGCCACTTGCTTCTTCTTTCAAGAGGAAATAAATTCCGTCGAGAAAACACTAATTTTTTTCTTTCTGGTTTTAGTCTCTTTCTTTAAGGTACAAATTCTCTCCTTAGGAAAGCAGACAAACAGCTGGGGTCCTGCCCTCTAGTACAGCAATTGCTTTTGGGGGAAACGGTACAGGAATATGGAAGAGACAAGTCTGCAAGCCTTTGGCATATGAACTCCCATTTTGTCTCTGATGCTGTTTATTCTTCCACTTTTACGTTCTCTTTTTCAGTGAAGTTTATTTGACTGTTTTGGACCATCTTTTATTTATTCTTCTCCAGGATTGGCTTTCCACTCCATGCTTTATCCATCACTGCCTGATCTCATCCCACTTCCTGGAATGCCTGATGCTGGTTCTATATATAGGATGCTCAGGTATAAACGGGAGACTGGACAAAGTTTTGAGGGCTCCAGCTGGTCCTTGGAAAAGCAGTTTGCATTCTGCCTTGCTATGATGTGCTTGGTATTTCAGTAAAGACCCATTATTCCTAGGAACCGAGCTTCAGCTGGGTCTCACTGGTGTGTTGGTGATTACACTACAAGAGGCAGTAATTACAAAGGGCTTTAAACCCTTCTGGGGGTGTCTTGTGCAATTAGGGTGGGTTTTGTGTTGAGAACAGTCTAGAGCCAAGCCCAGAGCTTCCCCTGCAGGGATGTGATAAATGACTGTGCCCTTTGGACATAACAGAAATACGGAGCCAGCCAAAGTGCCACCTGAGCTGGTGAAATTACCTCTGCTTTGTCTTTTCCAGGCAGCCCTGTTACTGCCTGAAGAGGTTGGAGGGACAGTATGGGGGGCAGGAAGGTTTCCTATTTACTCACTCTGTTCCTATGCTCTTTGCTGGGTACTTGCTGTGGCCAGGGCCAGAGATGGACGTGACTCAGTGTCACCATTCTTAGACTCATTCTGCTGTGGTTCCTCTGTATTTTACAGCAAGAACACAGATGTTTAGGCAGTTCCTCTTTCAGTCGAGTCAAACGCCCTGGTATCTTTGTGACTGGCCACCCTGCCGTATGTTATAGGTTACGTCCTCAAGTGCTTTTAGAAGGTACAAACCCACCTCCTCTTTCTGCAGAGATTTGCAGTCCCCAGTCCTGAATCTTTGCTCCTTTGCTAGCACAGCACTTTTCACCAGCCTCTGGAAAGCACCTCCTGTTGGGAATCATCGTTTGTAATCCTGAGCCTCCCACAGGCAGTGAGCAATGGGCCTCAGGTAGGAAGTCCAAGGACCAAAAGACAAGATGTTGAGTTTACAGATACTTTACTTGTGTCTCACAGGCAATAGTGTGGAGGATAGCGAGTCGCAGGGTTTGGAGAGCACTCCTAAGAGAGAGAGCACTAAATCTTAAATAATAATGAGCTTTCCAACACTCTGAAGGGAATCAAATAGCTGGAGTGTGCATCATGAAGTCAGGATTGCATTGTGCTACAGTGTGAAGGACTGATGGAAAGGAGATCTAGTGTATGCATTTGCTGGGCTAACTCAGGGGAAGCAGGGGAGCTAGTGTCAGTGTGAACTGCATTTCAAAAGGCAGATGTGATTTAGTCAAGGGGGCACAGTGCCCTGTATATCTGCCTCTTTCCATTTTCACCTGGCATGCTGTGAAAGCACAGGTTCAGGTAAATTAACAGACCTCACCATGAATTCAACATTAATTAGGAGCCTTGACAGCCTAGTTTCTGTCTAGTTTCAGTGGGAGAAAGTGCTTTTCAACTGAAAGAACAAGTTATCTTGTTGACAGTATTGGTGGAAAGAGGGGAGAAAAAGAAGGAAGAGCTGGAAGGATGCAGGGGAGCATCGCAGAAGGCAGGGTAACAAAACGGATAAAGAAGCTAAGACCTGAAGGAACCATCTCTCCCTTGGCATTTCTATACAGACAGCATCAACAAGAGCACAGGCATCTCTCCAGCATGTAGCAGAGGATGAAAATCCCTGCCCAGGGATTAGCAGGGAGAGGCAGACACGAGTGCTGGTGTTCCTGAAGCACATCATCACTGAGCAACAACGAAGCATGCAGCGTGTCAGCGTGGAGCTCTGATAAGCTGCTCCTGGCTGCCAGCCATGACCACAGACATAGCGGTACAGTTCTGGATCAGGGATTGACCCACATTCCTCCTTGCAGGATAGCTAGGACAAATGCTCCTCAGATAAATGCATGGTAGCCATTATTCTCTGGGGACAAAGACGTTGTTATCTATGTGAGCATATTGATGAAAGCCATGTTCGCTTGCTGCTTCAGTGTCAGCGAGGAGGGAAAGGGTATGGCAAATGAGCTGAAACCTTTTCCAGGCATTGGGCAACACACTGAGACAGTTGCCATTGAGTATTTTGAGTCTGTTGAGAAGTGATCAAGAGCCGTATTTGGCTCGCGCAGCTCTCTGTCTTCACATCCAAGCAGGAGCTTGGGAAATGAATGTTAACATGGTATTCGTTCCCTGCATGGGGTCTTAACAGACATTTGTGACCAGCAGGCACCATTTCACAGCTGCAGCAGTGAATGCATGCAGGAAAAGGTGAAAGAATGCTTCTTTGAGTCACGTGAGGAGTTGCCAGGCAAGCGAGGAGCAACCTTGAATCCTGAAACCAAGTTCATTTTTAACTGTCACCTCCCTAAAGACACTAACGTCTGCACGTTTATAAGTACATTTGAGTATTGATACACAGCAGTGTTAGTGCAGGGTAATAATACCTTCTTTTCTGGAGGAATGGAAGAAGTGAGAGCTATCTTCCTTCTAGGATGTTTCTTTAATGGAAAAGGGTAAAGGAAATCTCATTCAAGAGTTCATGGTACGGTTCCCTATCAAATCCTGCCTCAGTGTCAGCAGTTACATCATCCTCACCAGCAATGAAACCTCATTGGGTTTAACCACTGATCTCAGTGCCAGCAGGAGGTGAGGACTGTGGACATTTCAGCAGACCAAGTGCTCTTGAAGTCGTGCTCAAGAAACATTTGTACTTATCTTTCCCAAGGCCACAGATGCTGTTTGCCTGCCGACAGGAACCAGAATGAGGAAATGAATCTGGAGCCAAGCCTGTTGTAATGCAAAGTTAACAGTGTGGGCTAAAGCCACAGAAACCAAGAAAGTTGGTATTGGATTAGATTCAGATCCTTAGGATGACTTTCACTTGATCCTTCTGATAACAGAGAAAGTAAAACCCTTCTGCAAGCATGTAAGTTAGCAACTGAAGCTAAACTGCGTATGGCATGTTGGTGTGACTGAAGGTAATTGCAGCTACAGGCTGCAGAAAGAAATCACCAAGGGAAAACTTCTCTGTAGGAAGCTGTTTCCACGTGCCTGAATCCCCCTGGATTACATTCCCACAGAAAGAATTGTGCTTAGCCAGAACAGAATACTGCAAGAGTTAACTGGATTGGATCGTAGCTTAAGAACCAGAAGGAATGCTACCAAATGGACAGGCCAGGGCCTTTACTGATGTGCATGAATGCAATTTCCTGAGCTTCCAATGGCCTGTGGGCTTGTGATGGAGATGATACCTTCTTAGCAGTGTAGGGGTTTGGTCTGGTCCTCTTAAGGTGATCATGAACTTGTTTAACGTTGGCTGTACCTAGAGTCATTTTTCATGCTCACGGTATTCTCGTGATGTGGTGCCCTCAAGCTCATTGTCTTTCCTAGATAGTGTTGATGCAGAAGCAAAGCATCCTCATTTTTTAATTGGTTTTCCTTCTCTGTATCCCTCCTGCAGAGTCTGCTGTGGTCCTTGGGAGTCTGCCCAGACCCCAGCAGGTCCAGGCTCCTATAGTACATAGATTAAAGATACTAGAGTCTCATGTGAGGACATAGGCTGTCTCACACCCTGTTACGAGGGGATGAAGATATAGCTTAAACTTTGGAGGGCTGAAGAAAGTCCTGCTTAATTAAGGCAATTCCTTGATGATGTTTTACAGTTAAGTCTAACTATTGCCAAGCTGGCCCAGCCCTGGCTGCCTCCCTGCACTGCCCCACAGTATGTCTCTGCCCCTCTGGTGATACTATTTCCCTAAAGACCAATGGAGGGAATGTGTTGGCCATCCATGAATATTCCAATCTTTTAGACTTTCTCTGTTGCTATCCTCACTACTCTTTCATAAGGTCATCCACATGCTGTAGGCGATGGAGACCACCTGTAGCACTACAAATAGCTGAGTGTACCTCTGCTAAAGGGAGATGAGCCTCTTCTGTCTAACTAGCTTCATGGGTATAGCAAACTGAGACTGACTCACCCACACCTTGTGAGGGTGAGGATTTTGGTTAGATTCTGATTAATCCCTCTACATTCAGGGACAGCAGGACCACCCTAGGACATGAGGAGTCTCCTGCAGCAGAGGTATGCAATCTGCCTTACTATCCTTAAAGGTGCCTTGTCCTGGCTCACTTCAGGACAAATTCCAAGTTGCTATTTGGCTTTGGAATACAACTATGCACCAAAGGTGAGAGACTCCGTTATCCCTGGAGACAGGAGGAAGAACACGATGTCCTGGTGTGGGACAAGGGAAAGTGAGTTTCTTTTCTTTATCCCATAAGCTGTCTGTCAGCCATCCTGCCTCTGATGTGTGTATGTGTGTGCATGCTTTTATTTCTACATGAACACAAATTGCTCTAATTAGGGGGGAGGATTCTTGTATTTTTATATGCTAAGCCATTTTGATTAATTACTTTAATAAAGTGACAGACAGATGAACTCTGGAACTCACTGCCATCTGCTCCACTACAATTCACTATCACTGATATGAAGGTATCGGCCTTCAGATAAACCCTAGTACTTAGAGTAACCACTCCATTGAATAAGTACTTGTGCCATGTGGATGTATTGATCCTTGTGAACATCTGTAACTATTCCTCTGTAAAAGCTGTGGGTTTGATCCATGTGGCTCCGTATCAGCCTTTTTATTATCTACCAAGAACAGATGTATGTGCATATATGCAAGAACAAACCACATTGCTGTGTCTGGGGGTGTGTGACCCTGGGGTAGGTATTACAGATGTTTATTGTCTAGTGTACCCTTTGGGGTA